GTCTGGAGGACACCGAATGTGAAGCAGGTAAATGCCAGAGCCACCTGTGCTGGGAGTTTATGGCTGTCCCCATCCAAGTGAATGGCTTCAGGGATGCTCTGACAGGCCTAAGCAGGGCTCGAATGTGGCCTGACGGGAGCCAGAAACCAGTCCTGAGGTTATATAGGTGTGGAGTGGTCTCTACAGGTGTAAGAATCCCTGAGGGCCCCATATGCTCCTTACATCCCTATTGTGAGCTGCTCTAAAGAGCCAAGGGTGTGTGTTCAGCTTCCAAAACCTGCCCCTGGGTGATGAGGGATGCACGGTCCAGCTGTGGCAGCACAAGACACCAGTGGCTCATCACTGAACATGGGGCTGGAAACCAACTGCATCTTCCCCTGCTGTGCCTGCGGGGGGGAGATTCCCAGCCTGAGCTGCCGGGACGTGCCTTTGTGCCTCTAACCCTCTGCGCCTTCGCTCCCTCAGATGTGCAGAAGCAGTACGAATGTGCCAACTTTGGGGAGCAAGGCATCACCGTGGGGTGCTGGGACGTGTATCGGCACGACATCGACTGCCAGTGGATCGATGTTACCGACGTCCCACCGGGGGATTACCTCTTCCAGGTAGGAGCTGCTGCCGTTGCTTTTATCTCGCCTATTAGAGAGGGATACAACTGATTTAATGGGGCTATAAACCTGCCAGGTTGGTCGGGGCTTGGAGCAAGCTGCTCTAGTGGAGTGGGTTGGAACTGGATGAGCTTTAAGGTCCTTTCCAACCCAAACCATTCCATGATTCTATAAAACTTCTGATGACAAAGAGATGATGTTCCCATACCTAAAAGAGAAAGAATTGCCCACCGGGACAACACCGATCCCATCCCCAAGTGAGAAATCACTTCTAACAACCACATTAAGACATCCACATCCAGCTAATGCTTGATAGTCCTACCCGATCCATGTGCAGCTGCTGTTGTTAGCACGCTGCATTACATGTCCCATTCTACACAGCCACTGCAGGGTTGTGCTAAGCTTTTGAGCTGTTGGTGAGCAAAACTCACTTCATGTGGGGATTAAATAGTGCTGTTGTGGTGCTCGCAGGAGTCAGGGCTGTGCCTCCAGTCTGCTCTGTGCAAGAGGGGGGAATTGTATGGTTCTGAAAAGAGCTATTTGGGAAGAGGAGTTAGTTCTGTCTGCACTGCCCTGGTGTGAAATGAGGATGATGAGGATGTATCTTGGTGCATGGTGGAAGGTGTTAGCTTGAGCTCCCTTTAACCGAGTCTTTTGCGTCCCCTTGCAAAACGAGTTAGGGTTTTTCTGTTAACAAGTGTTACGGTGGAATGGGAAGTGGCACCATGAGCCCATCTGCAAGGACTTTGTGTTCCTCCCCCCCTGCTCAGGTTGTCATCAACCCAAACTATGAGGTTGCTGAATCTGATTACTCAAACAACGTGATGAAATGCAGGAGCCGCTACGATGGGCAGCGCATCTGGATGTACAACTGCCACATAGGTGAGAGTCCTTGGGCAGGGAACGCAGGGATCCCACTGCAGCCCTGGCTCCTCACCAGGAATCCTCTGTGCTTCCCTTGCAAGGTGTTTATGTGCTGGTTTATCACTTTGTAGGTGCTTGGAAAGAGGAGACAGAGCCCAAGCAGAGGTGCTGTGTGCTGTAGGCTGTGCAAAGCAGACACCACCGTGTCCCTGTTACAGGTTGCAAGGAGTAAGGTGGCAGGAGGGTTCAGTAGTGCTGCATCACACAGGTTACTGGAGCAGCAAGTGCAGCACTGGTCAAGCTCTGAAAGAAAGGCCTCGGGCTTGGTAGAAGGGGGAGAGCAGATGGCCCAGCTCTGTCCCTTCCACTGCGAAACGAGTGCTTTTCCCTCCCAACACCCTCAGATGTAAGGAAAGTTCTTGTGCAACCACAGAGCTTGTGCCTGAGTAGGTCCAGGCAAACAGCTCCACCTCCTTCCTAGGCTCAGGCTATTCTCAACTTGGAACTCGCCTCTTAGACCCCAAAGCTTCTCTTCTCTTGCAACGCAACCAAAAGCAGGGGGTAAGAGCTTCCGCTCGAGCCAGAAAATGCCCTCCTGGCCTTGGAATGGGAGGGAAAACTGTGGAAACATCAAGGCCAAACCAGTTGGAATCTGCACTAATGTCAAGGCCAGTTAAAAATGGGATGAAGTTAAGCTGGGGCTCTGCGAGATAAACTGCTTTTAACACAGAGATTAACAGTAAGTGCCTGCCACCCTCCCAGCAGAGCCAGCGGGGAAGGCAAGCTCCAGAGCTGGCTCTGGCCCTGCAAGGAATGTTTTTCCTGACAAAATTCCATGTCACCACTGATTTTTCCTATTAATCTGCTGGGTTTTTTTACAAAAAGACTTCTCGTGTGTCGTGCTTCAGCTGTGACCTAGTTCTGCAGAGCCAAACCCACTTCACGTGGATGAACAGGCACTTCAGTGCTGGGGAGGCTCCAGCTCAGCTTCCAGGGATTTCTATTTACAAATCAATGGATGTTGCTAGTTGAGAGGCAATGGAAGCTAAAACTAAGGCATGGTCCTATGGGACATGAGGCACCAGCACCCACTTACCATCAGCCTCAAGCAGACCATTCCCAGGTCCTGCTCAGCATCGCCTAGTTCTTTTAAGCAACAAAAGTTAGCAGTGAATTGAGGGTAGTTTATGGTCTTCCTATTACAATAAAAGCCAAAATCAAGGACTCTTGGCTGGATTTAAATAGTAAATGGTAAAACTTAAGTAATGCTTAAATTAATTAGCCCAGGAAAATCTTTGCTCTTCTAGTCCTTGCTTTGAGCCCTTCGCTCCATGATGGTCGCAGCTTGCACAGAGCCCCCGTGTTCTCTGCTTTATGCTGCGAGCTGCTTCGGGTGCCTCCTGCTCATCCCTGTCCCCTTCATGTGCCCTCCCCAGGTGGCTCCTTCAGCGAGGAGACAGAGCAGAAGTTCGATCACTTCAGTGGACTCACAAACAACAAGGTGTCCACCCGATAGACGGGCAGCGCCTCCCACCCCACTATTTAAAGAAGCGAGGTTTCCTGAACCACTGCACACACACAAATCAAGCAAACAATCAAACTCTGCATTAGCCAGGTAAATTATTTCCTACAGGTGCCTTCCTCCCCGGTTTAGGTGCTCAGACCACCGTGTGTCTCCTGTAACTACCCCAGGTAGTTAGGAGCAGGCTTTTAGACTCTACTCGGCTCCGTATCTTCACCATTCCAACCTTCACCACAAAGACTTCTCCCTCCACTTCGCAGCACCACCTTTATTCACAGACATAGGTCCAGGCTGCAGCAAGCACAAACTGTCTTTAGGTGCCAACAACCTAAATATGTCTTTACCATTCATTTTCCTCAAGGCATTAATCTTGGTATCTTTAAGCTCTTTGACTCAAGCTTGAACACACTGCTGGCGCAAAGGCCTCCACTGGTGACACTGCTTCTTGACCGCAGCTAATCCTCAGTGCTCCCATGGCAGGACTTCTTCATTTTAGCACAGAAATACAGGAAAGGAAAGGAATGGAGCAGCTTTTCTGAGCAGAACAGTGTAAGCATCATTTAATACTGCCGTGAAACTCTTGTATTCAACAATCAACCCCCCACACAGTCTCATTAAGTGGAGCAGCTAATGCAGAATGGTCCTTCTGCAAGTGGATGAGGGCTCCATGAAGCTACACCTCCCCTGGAACATCTCCAAGACTCTGCAGACGCAACGATGAGTCCGCTGGCCACAATTTCCATTACACAGTAAGCTTTTCATCCCATAGATTCTACATACATCTAAGTATTACCTTCTAAGCTGGATATTCACTCTGTTCTTTAAAGGATGCATTTAGTTAAGGCATTGTACCATCACTGTACCTTACAGAGGTAACTTCATGGCTTTTCTCATCAGGGATCTGGACCTGTGCTGTCACAGACCCACCTGTGTAAGTTGACTTTAAAGGATTTGAACACTTGGTAAATTCACAATGGTGCTAAGTGTGTTCCTCTGTTTGTTTGAGGCCACACATTGCTACAGATCTGCAGACACAGCTACTTGAATAAAAGCCTTTTACCCAGAACACGTTTTACATGCCATTTGTCTGTTTCTACTCCATGAAAGTTTAGGGACTTGGTCACAATTCCTGGTCCTGAAGTTTTTTCTCTCTATATACAAAAAAAGATAACTGAATACTTAAAGCTGCCCTTTTCAATCCACAGGGGAACTGAAACTGGCTGCATCCAACTTGTGCTCCCCAAAACCTACCTCACAGGGATGTTGTGAGGCTTAAAGAATGCAGAAGGACTTTTGCTAATGCCTGTCAAGAGTATTTCTGTCATTTATTTACCCAGTGGCCCAGATGGTGGCATCCAGCCTACTGTAAGTTGGAAAACTCCATTTTGTTCTCAAGGCGCTGGACTGTGTAGCAAAAGCAGAGCCTGAGCTGTGTTGGATGCCCTACTGCTGCTGCCACAAGGTGTCTCACAGCATCTCCTACCACCAGGCTCTGGGAATATCAAAACTGTCAAGTTCTGGTTTCCTAATCAGTGTACACCTTGCCTTGCTACCAGTGCAAGGCAGCAAGCACAGGCTCTTCACACACCATGTAAATAAGGAAATCCCTGAACCTCACTTGCATTCAATGCTTGTCATTTTGATGAGATATTAACAATAACATTACAACAAATGTAAACATTAAATAATAGCTTTTTCTGACCCCTGCAGATGCTCTGCTCTTGCTTACAGCTCAGTTTTGGCCAATGATACAATTCCCTTCACCTAATGGCTGCTTTTTAAACACAGAGCGGGCTTTACTGTAAGCAGACTCCCTTTCTGCAAGTGCCCCAGTGTTAACAATCCTTTGAATCAGAGTCCAGCAGCATGCTCTCCATAACAAAGAGCTAACAGAACCCTCACAGGGTTTGGCTTGAAGTGCAAGATCTCATTAATAGTAAACCTTTCCCCTTCCCAGTTTCAGAAACGATGGTGCTAGTCCATAAGAGAACACCCCCATGGCAACTCACTGTTCTGCATGCAGTTTAATATCACAGCCATGCTCGTCTATACAGCTTTTTGTTTTAGCTGAGATGGTTTATTCCTCCTGGTCCAAGTTCTCTGGCAGGAGCACGTCGGTGCCTGAGCCCTCCTGCTGCTTGTGCTTCAGGCCCAAGGCACGGGTCACAAGCCGCTTGGCCACTGCTGTGTCCGTCTGGGGTCTCTCTTTTGCCAAGTGAAGGAGTTCTAGGTACAAATGGGTGAGAAACCATCAGGTTAGTGCTCGTTCAGGAAGTTAGTGCTTGTTCAGGAGCAGGCTGGTGGCTAACCAGGGGCCCGGCAGACAGAAGGACTGATGTCCATTTCCTTTGTTCCATTATACGTTTAGCCAAGGAGCACGAGCAATCATTCTATGCATCGCCAGTAAATTGCCTTTCCTTTTAGCAAATCCCCCTCCTGCTTTATACTCAAAGATTTTCCAATGGCAGTTCAAAAGCTGCGTGGCTCTAATTAAGCTCGAGCTCTTCGGCAGTGGGAGAGAGAATCATTCCCCATTAGCTTTCAGGAAAAGCTTCCTGGCCACCTTCAGCGTCTCTGCTAACAAAATGAAGCTACACAGTCCAACCAAACAGAACCAAGTTTCTCCACACTTGGGGATGTTTGAGCTCAATTTAGACCAAGCAAACCAGCAGAAAGCAAGGGAATAAAAAAATCTGCATTTCTTAAAGACTACGTGGCTACAGCAGATGCTTTGGGAAAGCCCTTTGGCCACTAACTTCCACTTTCTGGCACACGCCTTGCTTGCTCCAGTCTCACAAAAAATGAATACACCAAACCTTTGCCAAGGGCGCAGCGGGTTGGATTTGGTGATTTCCTACTCATTTACCAGCAACTGGGTGCAAATCTATTATCCAGTCAGTAATGAGGCTTGGCTTGGCTTTCTCAGAGGTTTTCTTAATAAAAGCAACAGGGGCAACGCAAAGCTTGGGAAATAAACCTGCCACTCTTTCTTGACAGGAACAAAGGAAAACACTAAAAGATAAGAGACACTGTCAGCTAAAGAGCCAAATCTGTGTTTGGAAAATACCTGCTATTGAAATTGAATACAAGAGTTTATAGATGATGTTCCCCAGCAGTTTATAACCCGATTCAGAAGTGCTCCAGCACTGAGAATTAGGAAGCGGGAGTGAAAAGAGATGCTGGGGAGTGTGTAAAACCCAAATCGCATCCTTTGATGTGCCATTGAAATCTAGCAGTCTTTAAAACTCAGGAATTTCCAACTGTGACAGTGTCCCTTGAACCCATTCATAGAAACTTGTTTAACTGCAGTGTACTGGAGAAGTAACAGCATCATTGTACCTTCAGCAAAGTCTCTGCTGCTACCAGGTTCATGGCATTTCTTTACTGTGGCAAGTATAACTGATTACAATATGATTTTAAAAAGCAATAAAAGAAATAAACCAATGTTAATGGCTAAGCTTAACAGTTCTTTTACCTTCACCTGATACCGAATAAAATGACACCAACCACAAAAGGGCACTGTTATTGCTTCGGTCTTCCTGTGCTCACAGCTACAGCTCCACCTCCCTGCTGCACACAACCCTTCACTTCAAGCTTCCCATAAGAGAAGCAAGTAACACAAGAAAAACTAAGCCTGAGTTCTAGCAGCCCACTGAGCTGATGAGAGAACAAAAAGCAACAGGATTTGGTGCATTTTGCTTCAGTCCTTGTGCAGCAGGAAAAGAAAAGGGACTGAAAACACACCCATACATAACAGCTGTAGTTCTGCTTCCTGTAAGCAGAATATAATGTCATCTCACGCTGCCAAGTCATTCTTGTCATCACATCCACCCTTGCTGCTGCACATGGGCACAACCAGCATTGCTGAGGTAGGAAATTTTACCAGGAATAGAATACAAGTTGGCTGCAAACACTGTTAAAAATATAACTTCACCCTCAGGCTTCTACTGAAGACTCCACACAACAGCCCCATGTCCTGCAGTGCCAATGAGGCTCTAAAACACCAACTAACCCCAAGAAATATAGCTCCTTAATATATATTTCCCCGTTTAACATGTCATGGTGACCACTCAGGATGTAAAAGGCTGGTAAACCAAGGATACTAATAATTAAAAGACTGACTTACTTGGTCGCTGAAGGGCCTTGATTTTGGACTGCTTCGTGGCATGGATCAATGGTCGGATCTTTAAAGCAGGATAACGTCGCCCCAGGGCTTGAGATGCTTCAAAGAACAAAGAGTGTTGAAATCAGCAGACTGTATATGGTAAAGATCAGTACGTGGTATAATAGTGAGTAATTTGAGCTCCAGCAGCTGCTGTGTTATCTCAAGCCTTGTGCTAAAAGAGCTAAGCTCATTCTAGTCACCTCAGGCTTATAGGAGCACAGGCAGAATCCCATGAAAATACAGACATGTTTTAAAAGACAACTCTGACATTATTAGACTAAATAAGAAGGAAGTTACAAGGAAGTTTTTCCCTGGATGAGCTTTAAGGTCACTTCCAACACAAACCACTCTGTGATTCTAAATCCCAAGGAAAGAGCATAGGCTTTGGGCCTGCTGGATGCAAACATCTCTTGGGATGGCTCAGAGCTGAGCTTGGCTGTCTGTCCCAAGAAGGCAGGTTTGGCAGGAAGCTTGGTGGCTGCCCTGCGTGCCACCATGCTCAGGAGGTCCCCAGGAGGTCACTGTACCCCAGGCAGGACTTTCTGCCTAGTTAAAGGAGGAATAAACCTGCAGAAGCAATGCAGATTCATTACTAGGAACACAGCACGAGTCACTCCCTATGCAAGAGCTGCCCATCCAAACCAGTTACAAACCTGCTGCTCTGGCAGAGCAGCGTTTCCACACCCACCACAGAATTCCAGTTTCTCCAGCTGGAAAAGCCTTTCAAGTTGGAAGCGTGCGGGAAGAACAACACGATGAACCACGACTGCCCTTGGCAACCCAAGTGCAGGACTCAACAGAGGTCAGTGCAGGGGCACTGTGCATGAGCAGAGACCTCAGCAGCTCCACAGGGCCCTTGAACATGAACCAAGTCACTCTACCTGTGGAGAGGCTGGAGAAGATGCCCAGGGCGTGTGTATCATCAACCCATTGGATTTTGAACCCGCTCTCGCTGAAATGAAGAGACAATGGAATGATATTGGTTAATAAGAGAGAAAAAAACAGTCCCCACACACTAAAACCCATCAACCACCTTGAGCTATCACAAGGACTGAAGTGTTTTCACGCAGGTAGATGGTGCTTTTCAAAGCATTACACCTATTTGACACAAAGGGAAAGAGAAGGAAAGGAGCAGAACATCAGATGTGCCCCTTTCAAGGCCACAACAAGCAATTACCCCCTCAGCTGCCCCCAGGAGCTCTCCTTTTCCCTCAGCCAAAAGCAGTCTCCATTGCAGGCATTGCCCCATCCCAGCAAATGGAAATAGCACATGAAGGGAAATACATAGAGGAGCTTATTTAAAACGTAAATCATGGCTGTTAAGGGATCTGCAGAGGGAAGAGTTCCCATCTGATCCACCAGGGATAGCAAGAAAGGAGGAGGATGGTGGTGGGAGGAAGACACCCTCCTGCAGACACCAAACCAGTTCAGAGCTAGACCTTTATCACTAACCAGGGCTGAACTTCACTCTGCTCCTGATGCAGCGTCACTCCCTCAGGCACAAGGATCTGCTCCCTGGATTTACATACTAAATCTGATCTCCAGCAGCAGAATCGAGCCCTTTTACTTACATAAGCCTTTGCAGGCATGTAATTTCATTGTAATTTCATCCAGGCACCCAAGTGCAGGAACCAAGACGCTCCTAGAAAGCACCTGAAGCCTCACTGACGCCTGCAGCAGTAACATCTGCACATAGCTAGCCATGAGAGCCCTGAAGAACCAGCTATGGTTTAAACCAGGCAGGAAATGTCCTTTAAGGCGCAGAAAGAGCCTGACACAAGGGCACGAAGGTGAAACTAAGGTTCCAGCTCCATCAGGCTGTCTCATTCCAGCGTGAAGGCTGCTCCCTCCATGCCCCTGCTGTGCTCAGGCTCTCAGAGATACTCACTGGAAGTCAGAGAACATTTCCACCAGGTCCTCTGTCTTCAGCGATGGGGAGAAGTCATAGATTTCAGTCACGTGGCCAAAATCCCCCTCGCTGACCTGGGCATCCCTGTAGCTGGAGCAGTCTAAGCTGATCTTCTCGATGCTTACGCTCTTCACAGTTAAATAACCCACAATCTGAGGGGATTAAAGAAGAAAACCATTAAAAAGATGAGGTTTCACCACAAAGATCAATCCACCTCGGTCCCTGCAAACCACTTCTGTGGCTCCTGCCACCAGGTTCAGCCCCAGCGCAGGGCCTATTCCCATGCCCTGGGGCCGAGCCTCAGCCACATCCTTTCCCCACAGTCACTCCCCAGGGGTTGCAGAACACTACCTCTGCCAAGAGCTCTGTGGTACAGTCGTCCTCGAGGCTGCTCCTCCTGGGTACAGCCACGTTCTCCTCTCTGTCACCTGCAGGCAAGTGCAGCTCATGCCACAGAGCATCGGCCAAGCACGAACCCTCCTTGTCCTCTCCGTCCACCACAGACTCCTTCCCACTGCAGTTCTGAACCGGAGCATCTGTCCCATGCTCAGTCTGGTCCTCAGGAGATGATGGCTCAGCACCACACATGGGCTCAGCTGCAGGGAGAGGCTCATCTGGGGCTTCTGTGGGGTTCTGGCAATGGGTCTGCTCCACCTGGGCAACGCTGGGGCACTCATCTTGGCTTTCCAGGTTGGAGGAACTCTTCCCTCCCTCCACGGTGCCAGCGTTCAAGTCCTTGCCCTGTTCTTCAGGCAGTGACGTGATTCTGCTGCTCTCCAGGCCCTTGGCAGTGGTGTGGCTCTCATCCTGGTTTTCCAGCACCAGTGACCCTGCACTTGACTCTGCTTCAGCTGGGTCTGCACCGCAGTCACTGGCTGTAAGGGAGGAGGTTTTGGCACACTCCGATACACCGGCATTCCGGCTGCTTTGGTCTTCAGCTTGCACCTGGCAGAGGATTTTGGTGCCTTCTGGTGTAACACTGTTACCACAGCTCAGATCTTGCTCTTCTGCTTCAGCTGGGGGTTTACTGTGTACAGAAGAAAGGGAATCTGAACAGTCTTTATCCTGACCTTCCTGCCCAGAGAAATCCTTGTTGCTCTGTAACAACAGGACATCCCTACGACACGGGGGACGCTCAGCATTACTATCTCCTGGAACGCACCCTTCACCAGGCTCCTCCTGCTCACCAAAGGCCAAGGAGACATCACCTGAGCTTCCTTCAGGCCTGCCCAGCTCCTCCTGGGCAGTCTCTTTGGGGCAGGTCTCTTCCTCCTGTTCCACATCCCTGCCAGCAGCCGCCGGGTTCTCCTGCTCGCCCCATTCCTCCCTCTTGCGCATCGCCTTGGGCACGTAGAGGGCTTTATCCGGCTTCCTCCTGGGCGGCCTCCTGATCCTGCCGGAGCCCACGGCGGCTCGAGGGCTGTCCCCATGCACGTCCCCAGGGTGCCGCAGCCGCCCCCCTCGGCTCCCCCGGCCCCACGGCTGTGGAGCCCGGGCTGGTCTCAGGGGGTTGGTGCTGGGTTTTTGGTCGCTGGTTTCGGTGGGCAGCCTGGGAACAAGGGAACAGCAAGAGGTGAGCAGAGGAACCCAAGTAATGCGGTGTGTGTAAAAGAGAGGAGGGAAAGCATCACGTCCATGGCAAGACGGCAGATAGGGAAAAAGAATCACTGAATCAGCTGGGGTGGAAAAGACTTTCAAGATCACCCAGTCCAGCACTGCCAAGGCCACCACTAACCCACGCCACTAAGATAGCTGCAGAAAGCAATAAGGTCTCCCCTGAGCCTTATCTTCTCCAGACTAAACCTGCCCAGGTCCCTCAGCCACTCCTTATCACACTTGTGCTATTCTTGTGCAGAAGAGCCTCTGCTTCCTCAATGACTGGAAGATGCCATCAGACACCTCCTCTTTGAAGAGGGGCATCACACACACACTTTGTGCTTGTAATCTTAAACAAACCCCATGACCATGGAAAGAGATGCACTGAGAGAGCTACTGCACCTTACAGCTGCGTGGCAGATCACCGTCCTCCTCCTCCAGCCTTCTCCCACTGAAAAGCTGCTCAACAGATCCATGCTGTCCACGGTCCGATGGATCAGGTACCTGAGGCGGCTGGACAGGGGAGGGAACAGCAGCACACTGAAAGGAGAGAGGGCATCAGCAACTTGTAGGAAGGCAAAGGACAGGCACACAGCAAGGATTTATCAATCCCTCTTCCCAGGTCATTCCCAGAGTAGGGCTTAAATCCAAGCCCAAAAGCCAAGCAGGACATTCTGATATAAAAGAGCCCAAACCCCCTCCTCATCCCAGGTGTCTACATGAGCTTGCTTTGGATGCAGCAGTGGGAGCACCCTGCCTTTGCCTGGGGATCCCAGTGCTGCCTGTGTCCGTGCTGGGAATGGTGGGAGATCACCAGCACAAGCTCCTGGTCCCATTCCACCCAGTCTGAGTGCGCTCCAGAAACCATCAACTACGAACATGACTGGATGAATACAGAACCCATTTGATTCCACTGCATTTAGTCATGTTCTTACAACTTCAGTTCCACTCCTCAGCATTCCACAATGGGTGCCCCATCCCTAGCAGTGCTCAAGGCCAGGCTGGACTCAGGGGCTTGGAGCAACCTGCTCTAGTGGAAGGTGTCCCTGCCTGTGGCAGGGGGCTGATGCTGCTTTAAGGTGCATAATGAATGGTGTATAATGGTGTAAAATGTGCCCTTAATGGGGAAGGGCACAGGGCACAGCTCCCTGGTGACCCTTGGCCTGCAGGGATGCTCCAAGCCAGTCTGGACCCTGCAGAGGGGCTCCAAACCCCACAGGCAGAAAACCGGTGTAAAAAGAGACAAGAGCCCCCATGTGCCGCTGTGTGTGCGGTGCCGTGTGCGCAGCACCCTGCGTGCAGTGCCCAGTGCCACCACCCAGAGGTGCAGGACAGGGTCACCGCTGCACTCACAGCCCAGCACCCACCTGTGGAGCTGCCCCTGCAGCACGAAGCGCTCCAGCTCCTCCGTGATCCTGCCCACGAACTCATCCTCGTTGGGCGAGAGGAAAACCCCATCCATGCAGCGCAGCGCCAGCGTGGCGGCGGGTCTGGGGGGGGGGAGAATAGGGAGGCATGGAGGCACCCACAGCAGCACCCAGGGGTGCCCCGCACCCTGCGGGCCTCCCCTGCAGCCGCACGCATGGACCCTGGTGCAGCCCTGACCCGAATCAGGGCACCCTGCACCTCTCGGCGCCCCGTGCCCCTTCCCCACGCACCCCAGCACACCCCGCTCCGCTCCCCGGGCACCCCCCAGGGCCCCAGGCACCCCCGGACACCCCCTCAGCCGCTCGGTTCCCCGTTACCCCCCTCCCCCCACCGCTGCTTCCCCCCTCTTTCCTCACCCCCTCTCCCGCTCCCAGCCCCCCACTGCCCCCCCACCCCCATGGACCCCATTTCCCGGCCCCCCCCCTCCTCACCGCTCACCGCCAGGCCCGGTCCCAACGGCAGCTCCCGGCGCTGCGCATGCGCCAGGCCCGGCCTCGCCCCCTGGCAGACCACGCCCCTCCGCGGGGTGCGGGCACGGGGGGTCCTGCAAACGATGAACACCCCGAAACCACCCTAAAACACCCCAAAATACCCACAAACCACCCTAGAACACCGCAAAATACCCACAAACCACCCTAAAACACCCCCAAAATACTCACAAACCACCCTAAAACACCGCAAAATACCCACAAACCACCCTAAAACACCGCAAAATACCCACAAACCACCCTAAAACACCCCAAAATACCCACAAACCACCCTAAAACACCGCAAAATACCCACAAACCACCCTAAAACACCGCAAAATACCCACAAACCACCCTAAAACACCCCCAAAATACCCACAAACCACCCTAAAACACCGCAAAATACTCACAAACCACCCTAAAACACCGCAAAATACCCACAAACCACCCTAAAACACCGCAAAATACCCACAAACCACCCTAAAACACCCCAAAATACCCACAAACCACCCTAAAACACCCCAAAATACCCACAAACCACCCTAAAACACTCCAAAAATACCCCTAAACCACCCTAAAACCCCCAAACCCACCCAAACCACCCCAAGTCCCTGCCTTCACCCCAAATCAAACCCCGACCTTCACCACTCGCCCCATCCCTGGCAGTGAGCCCATGGAGCAGCCGCCAGCAGAGTGCTTCAGCCATCGCCCCAGGAGGAATCCCTGGATCATCAGGTCCAGCCATGCCCCAGCACTACAACCCAAGGCACCCAGCACCACATCCACACAGCTCAAACACCTCCATGGGTGGTGGTTCCATCACTGGGCAGCCTTTTCCAATGCCTGAGCACCCTTTGGGGCAGGAATTGATCCTCAGCTCCATCTAAACCTCCCCTGGTGCAGCTTGAGGCTATTTCCCCTTGTCCCATCCCTTGGGTGCAGAGCCCAGCCCCTCCTGGCTCCATCCTCCTGTCAGGCAGTTGCAGGCAGAGATCAGGTCCCCCCTGAGCCTTCTCTTCTCCATCTGAACCCCCAGGTCCCTCAGCCCTTCCCCATCACACTTGTGCTCCAGGCCCTGCACCACCTCCATTGCCTTCTCTGGGCAATACTCACCTTTTCCCTCATCACAAAGGTTCTTCCAGCCAAAATTCCCACTTTCAAGCCATTTCCTCTCCTTTCTTAGGCACACAGCAGCACAAAGCACAAAATGAATCCAAATGATGCCAAGAGCTGGAGCTTTTGGGGGGATAAACAGCACTATGGGCTTGTTCCAGGTGAAGCCAATGAGCCTCACAGGTGCTCAGCGTTTCTAAGTGTAGTTTCACCTTAATGAGTCAATGCACAGGTCCTGGAGGCACCACTGCCCCAGGTGACAGCTGCTGCAAGAGGAAAGGTCCCCAGAAGTTCAATCATGGGACAGAACAGAGACAAGGGCAGCATCACCTTGACCAACTGCCTTCCCTGGGTGTCGTTGAGCACTCACAGCCTCCTCCTCAGCAGGGTTAATCCCTCCTGCCTCTTCCCCATCAGCAGGATGATGGCTGGGAATTACCATATAGATTGGAAAGGCAGGGCTGTGATTTTAGAAGAGCTTCTGCCAGGCTCCTCCAGGCATCTGGAGACCCTCATCCAGGCTTGACCCCTGCACCTGGAGCTCCTTCCTCCAAGGCCAGCCCTGGCCTCTGCCTGATGAGAAGAGCAGTTGATTCCAATTTGGAAGCAAAATGAGGCAAGGCAGCAGCCTACAGCAGCCACCTCCCATTCCCCCCTCCCCATACACACTATTTCCCCCTTTCTCCACTAAACCCATTCCTCCCAAACCTGAAGAATCACTTCACAGACAACAGCCATCCCCTGCCCCACACTTCCCACCAGGATACACTGGAGAGCGGCTTTGGACAAGGGCCTGCAGGGACAGGCCAAGGGGAATGGCTTGAACCTGCCAGAGGGGAGACTGAGATGAGCTCTGAGGCAGAAGCTTCCCTGTGAGGGTGCTGAGGCGCTGGCACAGGGTGCCCAGAGAAGCTGTGGCTGCCCCATCCCTGGCAGTGTTCAAGGTCAGGTTGGACACAGGGGCTTGGAGCAAGCTGCTCCAGTGGAAGAGGTCCCTGCCCATAGCAGAACTGGATGAGCTTTAAGGTCCCTTCCAGCCCAAACCAGTCTGGGATTCCATGGACTGCTCAGCACTGATGGCTCTGCTCACCCTGCCAAAAGCCACCCCTCTTCACACCCTGCCTGCTGGGTGCTGCCCTCCCTTCACCCATGACAAAACCAGGGCTCCAGAAAGCGAACTGCCTTACCTGGGCTTACAGGGCAGGAGCAGAGCTGCACCCACATGCACAGGTCCTGACTCAGTCCTGGCTCCAGGAGCAGCCACAGGTAGGAATACTGGCAGGGATGGAGCAGTACTGTATGGCTTTAGGATGGGAGGAGGATGCTTCCTGGTGGAATTGCAGGGGAGGACAGTGCAGGAAACCCACAGCAGGAACTGAAGAAACCCATTCTGAAGCCAGGTAAACAAGGGGTATTTTTGCCAAAGCAAGCCACAGTTGCACCAGTTTGGAGCTGTTGTCCATTTCCCAGCCTGACCATAGGAATGTCTGTGCTGGGCAGAGACCTGGTCCATAAGCTGGAAGTTAATAACTGGACAGAAAAGAAGGATCACATCACCCTCTCCTTTGCCTTTTGCAGGTTCAACCCTGCAACCCATCACAGGTAACAGTGATACACTGAGCTTTACTCCAGTCCCTACAAACAGGCATGGATAAAGCTCCAGAACTTCGCCACGAGATGAGTATCAGCAAACATCAAACCCAGGGCAACCAGGACACTGGGAAAAGCTGCATCTTCAGTCTGACCCCCTCTATGCACCAAGCCAGGAGCCCTGTAGTAAAGCCCAACCACAGCACACATGCTACAACACCCTGCCTTTATCGAGGGACATGGATGTACTGCAGGAACATACAACTGGAATTGCATTGGATCTCCCAGGACCATGCCAGACAATCGTCCCCTCCTCGAGCTCCTTCCCTGAGCTGGGATTTACCACACTCCCAGAGCTTGCCTTGGTTCTGACAGCCAGCCACCCCTGCAGCACAGGGAGATGGTTGTACACGGAGTTCAGTCCTCCTGGTGCTTCCCTAGTGAGATCCAAGCATTGACCTTGGAGACGCAGCCAGCTCTGCGCCCCTCCCACCCTGATTGTGCTGTAGCTTGACTATAACTGGGCTCCAGTTAATAATTACCCTCACTCTGTAATTACCCCTTGCTGATTTCTTTGTTAACATTTGCAGGGAGAGGCCTTTCTGCTGCGCAGGGAGCTAAAGATGTCTCGGCTTCAAGACAACACAGCCGTGCCACTTGCTGCTGCAGTGTTTCACCAGGCATGGAGCAAAACCCCTCTCTCAAGCCAAGCAGCCTGCAGGGAGATGCTGGGGGCTGCTCACTTGCTGCTTCACCCCCCGGCTAAGCAGACACAAGCTCCCAACCTACAGGAGAGGCTCATTAAAGAGTACAGGTGAGCACAGAGTGCTGCTTAAGAAGCTATTCTTACTACTGAAATGGGCCAGCAAGGGAGGCAATGGGAAAGGATCTGTAATGAAATGGGGGAGGAAGGGAATTGGAGGGAGTACAAAGAGAAAAGGGAAAGAAACAGTCCAGGAAAAGGACCCGACTGATGAGGGCACAGAAACCAAACCAGCAATGTTCTTGCTTTAACATTTTCCCCTCTACCCTCAGAGTCTCAAGGGCTCAGACACTCTCATCCCCAAAGCAAAAAGTCCAACATCCTGGGGCTAAATCCCAGTTTATGTTCATGCACCCCTCAGCTGTGCATGTCCCAGCTTAGAGAGGCTGGCTCCTCCTCCAGGGGCCAGTGTAGACCTTTACACACCCAGTCCTTCCCTGCAAACACACTCAGGACAAGCTGCTACCAAGCACAGCCTCAGGGCTCCAGGAGAAGTGGCTGCATTCCAGTCCAGACCTGCAGGATGATTCACCTGAGCAAGAGACACAGTCAGAGGTGAGCCCAAGAGCGTTATCCCAGCAAAGCCATCACCTCCTTCCTGCAAAGGCCACCACAAACCCGGGTTTCCCTCACTAGAGGCTGCTTTGCAGCACTGTTCCAGCAGTCATCACCACATGAGCAGCCAGGGCTCCTGCCCAGAGTGCAATACCCACATTATCCAGAAAGTCCTCAGGAAACAGGCAAGTGCAACAGTCCCCGATTCCATCTCTCCTCAAGACCATCCCACCACCCTTTTCCCAGCCCTGTCTCAATTGAACACACTGCTGGTGGCAATCTTCTCCAGCGAGACAGCCACTTCACGCTCCACGTGCATCACTGCAGGGCTGGTGGTGGGAGAAGGCTCAGAGGCCTGAGAATCCTTGCCAAAGGCCATCTCCTTGTTCTCCATGTGCAGAGCAACGTGGGGGAGAAGCTGGTGGTAGCTGAGGGTCACCGCTTCCTTCTGGTATGTGGTGTCGTGGTGGTAGGAGACCAGCTCATTGCTGAAGTTCACCGTCTCCACCGCATTGCTGGGGCAAAGGCAGCCACAGCCCAAGAGGGTTGCAAAAGCTCTCCTGAAGTCTGCGTTGAAGGTGTAGATGATAGGATTGAGGGAAGAGTTGGCCCACCCAAACCAGACAAAGATGTTGAAGACGGTCTCGCTGACACAAGGCAGCTCTCCGGGCTCATGCAGATCAGGATCACAGAAGGGCACCATGCAGTTGAGCACGAAGAAGGGCAGCCAGCAGAAGACAAAGACGCCCATGATGATGGAGAGGGTTTTGAGGACCTTGGTCTCCTTCTTGAAGGAGTTCTTCAGGGAAGACTTGTGAGGGCAGTCGCTGCTGTGGCAGCTCTGGGCATGCTCCACCGCCCTCTCCAGGGAGGAGATGCTGCGGATCTGCCGCCGGGCGATGCGGAAGATGCGGGTGTACGTCACCAGCATGACGGCAACGGGGATGTAGAAGCTGACGAGAGAAGACGAGATGGCGTAAGTCCTGTTGAGGCTGAAATCGCAGTTCTCCTCCTCCCCGGTGATGTTAAAACCCAGCTCCTGTTGGGTAAGGAGCTCCCGATCCTTGTGCCACTTCAGCTGCACAGGGATGAAAGAGATCAAGAGGGAGAGCAGCCAAGCGAGCGCGACCATGGTGGAAGCCACGCGCTGCGTCATCCTCCTCTCATAGCGGAAGGGGTTGGAAACGGCCCAGTACCGGTCCACGCTGATGATACACAAGTTGAGGATCGAGGCTGTGGAGCACATGATGTCAAAAGCCACCCAAACATCACAGAAAGCCCCAAAAGGCCAGAACCCCACCACCTCGGTGGCAGCCTTCCAGGGCATCACCAGGACAGCCACAAAGAGGTCAGACACCGCCAAGGAGATGATGAAGATACTGGTGACCTTAGAGCGCAAGTGTCTGAACTTGACCACAGCCACACACACCAGGGCATTGCCCAAGAGCGTGGAGAGGATGAGAAGGGACAGCAAGGTAGCTGCCACCACACGGAAGGACAACTTGGAGCTGCTTTCCTCCACCCAGCTCTTCCTCCCGCCGGTGCCATTGATCACATCCTGCCCACCTCCTTCTGTGGAGGAGTAAAAACCATCCATGGGTTCCCCTTCGTTTCAAGTCCGAGAAGTTCCACAGCTGTTCAAGTCCCCATCAGCACCCAAACCCCCTTTTCACTGCTCAGAAGCAGCACCAGCAATCCTCCCAGCTCTCACAGCACCAGAAATGCCTGCAGCTCTCACCACTTTCCACGTCTGCTTCTGACTGCAATTTTCCCCTCTTTGCCACCCCACTTTGCTTTCCTCACAGCTCACAGAGGGCTGGCACTCACCTCCTGCATTGCATCAAACCTTCCTCCCTCTTCTCCCTCAGCAGCTCCTCATCCACTGTTGATGTGGTGCCTGCTACAGCATCCCAGTCAATCCCTTCCACGCTGGGACTTGCTGCCAGATGCAAGAGGGAATCAGAGCGCTCTGCTCTTGCACAGCCTCTGCGCAGAGATCAGGCTGCTCTGCTCTCTGCTCATCCCGCTGTGCCTCTGGATTTCACACCAGGTCCATCCTCTGCGAGCCAAGACGATGGCAGTGGGAGGCTGCAGCTGACAGGGGAAGTTGCTCGGGAATTAGGCGATAGGATTGAATGGGTAAAATAACAAACATTCAAGTGGGATTTGAGGCTCTTCAAGGCAAATCAGCAGGAAATTCAGTGTGCTTGAGCTCTCAGTAAGAGACACCTAAATTCACCGAGTCACAGCTCACATGTATGACCCCACATCAGTTGGTCCCCCTGTCCCAAGCCTCCTGGCTGCAAAGGGGCTCCTTTGATTGAGAAATGTCAGCAAACTCTTCCAGGAAAGAAGTTTCCACCAGAGCTGGCTCTACTCAATGGGGACCTGCCTTTGGGAAATGCCTTGCTGGAAAACTGGCCAAGATGGGAAAGAGCAGCAGCAGCAGCTTTCCAAATCAAACTGAAGGCACAAGCAGGCAGCAGAGTGTGAGTTCACACCACGCTGGAGTGCATCGTGATGACCCCTGCCTGTTCCAACAGCTCTTCTGAAGCAAGCAGCAGCCAAGCTCCACAGAGGCAGCTCAGCTGCACTGAGATTTAATCACCCTGACCTTGCACCCCAGGCTTTGCACAAGCCCACAGTGAGCAGGAGCTGCCCAAGAGCAATTATTCCCTTGAACACACAGCACCAAGCAGCTTATCCCCAAAGCAAACAGCACGCTCGCTTTGTGGCAGGTCACCGGAGCTCGGTGCCAGCGTGCCACAGCAGTGACTTCGAAGGCTTTGTTTCATTAAGCCTCATTAGTTCCATCGTCTGCAGCCTTCTCCTGCCAAGTGCCTATGCCGGCAGGAGCAGCTAGATGGCACCAGCCACCGGCTCACGGCTAAGCACCCTCACTTGGGTCTTTGTGTCAGGCCAGCTCCCTCCCTTCTGTAATCCTTACCAGAGTTACATCAGAAGAGGGCTCTCTCACTGCCCAGAGCAGTGCACTGTCCTCTGCACCTCAAAGGGCATTTTCCCACATATTCCCTATATTAGGAACAAAGATTTTCCAGATCTAAGTTGCAGGACACAAAGAGGATGTCTTCATTGCTCAAGAGAGCAGCAATGGTAGGTAATCTGTCCTATGGCATTGAGCCATGGCAGAGGCTTGGAGTGGGAGCTCATGGCACACAAGATGCACATGCTAAGCCAGGAGGCGTTCCAGGAAATCATTCCTGGAGATACAAGGAGCTTTCTTCCTCCTTAGGGGCTTAGAAACACCTCAGAGAGGCTCTCGCCCTCGCGCACAACTCACGCTGAAGCAGGCATTGGAAGCTGCGTTGGCAGGAGCAAGCAGATGGGAAGGGATCCAACCCGTTACCCAGTTTCTGGGCATCTCGGAACACACCTAATGAAGACAGGACCCATCAACTCTGCTGTCAGAGGCAGCCAAAACGCAGCTCCTCAACCAGACCCCAGGCATTTCCTGCTGTTCCCAGGTTAACTCCTCCCGCCGGCTGGCTGTGATCTCTACTGAGAGCACTGTTTGCTGCCTTCTATCACTAAACTGTTGCTCCGTTTCCCCACATAAGCAGCTGCTATTTTTGCTGAGACTCAGTTAAGTCCTATTTTAACCAGCACTCAAATAGGAGAAGATTCCAGTGTGGTGGCAATTCAGCTCTAGGTTTTCATTTTTCATTTCCTCACCCAGCGAGAAGCTGCCCTCGATTTCCCTTCCCTGCTGGCGCACCAAAATATCCTTCCCATTCTCCATTCAGCCATCTTGATTACATTCCCCACTTTGCATCAAAGGGAGAAAATTGCCAGCCACTTCATCTAAAGCAGCAGCTGCTTGGGTTTAACTCTTCAAAGCCTCTTCCAGAAGGGCTGCCTCAGCCAGATGCAGCACAGAATGACAGAGAGCATTTGCTCCTACAGGAATCACTTAGAGCTTCCCTTCCAGGGAAGGTACAGGTGATAGCAGGGGAGAAATGAGGGGCAGGCAGATCTGTGGGCTCCCTGCAGCCATGTGAGCCTTGAAGCTGCACCTGTTAGCTGCACAATGGTAGAACAAGATGAGCTGAAGCAAATAAAAGGAAGTGAGCCTTTCCAAATGATACTCAACATTAAGGCTGTACAACCCCAAACCCAGCACAGGCTACTTGTAAAAACAGACGACTTCTTCCACATAATAACTGCTGGGCCTTTTTAAAGGCAGAGAAAAGACTGGAGGCAAAGTGCACTACAGCAGTTAGACAGCTTGGGTTGTGACAAAGCAGCCCAAGAACCTGCTCGTTTCCTGTCAGCACAAGTTTTATCGATGCGGCAGCACAGCTGGAACAGCACTAACACACAGTGACCTGTGGCACAGGGAAAGAAAAGGAGGCACCACAAGGGATTCCGTTTCCTCCCTTCCCTTTTATTACACATAGGCAGAAAACACAGTGGTTTTTCTCCCATTTACTTACAAAGCTTCAAGTCATTTCACACAATTCCATGTGCAGCCCGGGTGAACTGCTTCAGCACACCTCCTGTGGCAGGAGTCCACTCTCCAACAAAGCAACAACGAAGGCAGAGAGAACACAGTACCATAGTGACACCTGGAATTGCTTCCCTTGCCCTCTGGGACTAAAGCTGGGTCACCAGTAATGCCCAGGGCATGGGAACTCCAGCCCTCCTTTACTGTTCACCCAACCTGCCATCCACGTGGCTCCAGCAACAGAGCTTGGTGCAGGAAGCAGCAGAGAAATGGTGATGGGAATATGGGAATACATTCCGAGTCAGGGAGAGGGGCAGGGAGGACTGGTTACACACCAACACGGAGCTGGTCCCTCCCCTGCCACACACAGGCTCTGTGAACAGAAAGCCCAGTTTCTAGCACGTTCCTCTCTAAAAGAATTCACTTCTCCGTGTTCAGGATCCAGCTTTCTGCTCTCCCCTGTGCATACATGTAATAAAAAAGTGACCTGCAAAAGATGAGGATTTCACTTCTGATGGGTAAAGAAAGCCTCTAAAAACATCTTCAGTTGCTGTGCTCAGGTGGGTTTGCATTAGAAACACTGCCAGAGTTTTGGTTTGGGGCTTTCTGGTCATCTATAATCTTGTGGAATTGCAACATCAAGACTAAAGGCAAAGACAAGGCTGTTGTAGGAAACTGGCCTCAGGGAAAGGGAAAATGATGCATCCCTTCTCCTCCCATCCCAACTCACTCAATATGAGAGCTCAAAGATCACCCTGCAACTCCCAGCAAGTTTTGCAAGCAGGGAAGATACAAAAATAGCTCAGGTTTCAAGTAAGAGTGAGCAGCAAGTTGTAGTGCAGCACCCACGAGCCTGTGTCCCAACCGGCAGCGTCAGGACCGCCTTCAGCTCAAGATCTTTTGCAGGTCTCCCTTTTAAGGCCTTAATGTCATTACAGAAAGAGGAATTCTTTTTGTCTTGTGCTTGCAATTGCTGCCCTCTAGAGCAGCAACAAAATCTCCTACAATTGAACACTTATAGTGTCTAGTTGCCCACGACCGTGCAAAATACAGACAGGGAGGGATAGAACTACCAACGGGTGTGTAAGCTTGTTGCAGGTAACTTATGGCAAGGACAGTACTTAGGTGCCAAGTGTTTTAAACAACCACACAAACAGCCAAATGTTGAGCAACTGCAATACTGCTGCAACTCAGGTTCTCAACATCAGCCACAGCGAAGGGAAAATGAAAAACGAGCACTGTTATGGACATAGAAGAGTATCTTCGCCGGGTGGAATAGTGAAGGGCATTCCCAGAGGGAAGACTGGATGTTGCAGTGACTTGGGATCACAAGTCAAATTGAGACCAGCGGAGATGTTGGCACAGAGATGACAAACACCAGCTGGGGCCAGTTCCAGAGTGGATTGTCATGGCAGGAGATCCTGTTGCTGAGCAAAGTGATATCCATGAAGAATGGGGGGGTGTTACCCCTCTCCCCAGAAGTTCTAGTCATTAGTTAAGGAACCTTAAGAAACTTCTCACACTGCAGCAACAGGATGCTGTTGGGTCTTTAGAGATTCAGTCCCAGAGCTGTTTTGGGTTCAGAGGAAGTAGAGGGAGTCTTTTGTGCCAAATCTATAAAGACAATCACAACAGAAAGAGAGTAGTTTTCATCAGTAAGATGAACTACATCAACCGCCTCTATAACTAATACAATCTCAGTCTCAGTGCTTCAGTATTCAATTACTGTTCCCTTGGAAACCCAAGCTTTATGTTTGATACGGGATGCTGAGCATTCTTCTGCTCTGAAACTTGAGAATATCATGTGCCCAAATAGGAAGAAGACTATATGGACAGTCTGTGCAACTGTTCATTAACTGATTCCTGAAAGGAAAAGTAAAACCTATTTACCCCTGTCCAAGACAGGTCTATGGAAAACTCATTGTGCAACCCTTAAGCTCTGGTCACTCACTGTTCCTAAATAAAGACTAGGTTAGTAATGGTTCTAGCAGACATCATACCTATAACATAGGACGTAAGTACTGTGAGACACAAAAGATGCCGTGTGCTTGGCCAGGTAAAACTCCTAGCAAAGAGACCAAGTCTGGTAGTGAAAGTCATCACTGAGCAGGGATACAGGAAAGCTTCCTTTCAACCCTGTAACTGGAAGCGGGAAGGATTCTAGCTCAGACTTCAGTTCTGGACCCCGTTGGTTTTGCAAGGCTGACAGCAGTTAGCTAACACAACTTACTGATATCCATACCTCCATCAGACTCAGAGAGCTTCTCCAGTTCAGCTTCCAGCTCAGCATCAGAAATGGGTGGATTCAGCACCTTCTCGGGAACAGGAGGCAAATCCACAGGCTCCTTAGTTGAGTCCTGCAGGAGACTGTCCAGCTCCTTCTCAAGCTCCTCAGTGTCCGTCTCTGCTGATTAAAGGAAACATTCAGTTCCAAGAAGAATTAAGCAGCATCTTCACAGCAGACTGTGTTTCAGCAGAGACAAACAAGCTGCAGC